GATTAACTCTTGAAAGATCATGCTAAGTGATACCAAATACCCCGATGTATAAGCGGAAAATGGGTAATAAAATGGAGCACAAAAACTTTCTAGCATATAATAATCGACATGTCTATATACACGACAATATGACAACAAAAACAATGGATTCCCGAAGAAATAAATAGGAAGAAGATAAATTTAAAGAAAAGGGGATAAGAAAAATGGGGTGAAGGGTAAAAAAATAGAAGGGTGTCTATTCCTCCACTATGAGAACCTGCATCATTAGCATAAATGGAGAATTTATCTTTCCTTTGTACCTATATTTGGGAAGATGGTGAAACGGCTCCATCGAACCGTCGCGTATCCTGGCCAGAAACCGATGACTTGTCTGATCCACGAACATTGTATCGCTCGTAAACTTTTTCACGATTCTCTGACCACCAAGTCTCTGCTTGGTGCTCCCCAAATCTTCTACGGCTGCATATAGAAGAAAGAAGAAAGATACCAAAGTTAATTCTTATTCCCATCGCACCAATATATGCACATTTTTTCTATAGAAAAATAATAATAATAATAATAATAATAATAATAATAATAATAATAATAATAAATATATATACATATATATACACATACATATTAACAGAATAATGAAAATGACAATGCCCAATACCTGAAGCGGACACGTTTGAGATCCCTAGTTCCATCTCGAAGGGCTACAAGTGTTATATACACACCAGGTTCATATTGTTCAATCCACTCAGCCTCAATTTGACTAGCATTACCAGGAACCATCGAGTTTCTTGATTTTAAGACGTTTTCACCATCTGGAGGCACAGATTCTTTAGTGTTGACACTTTCAGCACTATTCCTGTAAGCCTGAACATCTTCGCCTCCATTTGGTAGTCTGACATCTGAGCGTTCATTCATCCCATTGGTAGCAGAAAACCCAAGTCCCTGAGCACCCGAGTTAATTTCATTGCTCACTCTATTTAATGTCGAGTCAATTCCAAGGTGGGAGGCCGTGTATGAGTTATTGATCGTATCAGGTCTTGAATTTCCTTCTCCATTTGTGCCAGGATAAGGTATGCCATTTGGTTCAGCACCATTTGGTAGGTAAGCCACTTTGGTGCTTTCAGAATCATAAGCCTCGGGTGGCAATCTTTCTGCCATATCTTTGAGCTAAAAATTGAGAAAATAAGAGAAGTCAGTAGAGCATATTGTTTAGGCAATAATTGACCTTTATCTTACCAATAATAAAGCAACTGGAAAGATACAAGAGCCAAGCTCTGATTACAGACCAATCAACTATACATTCAGCAGCACAAGAACACTACTGAGCACAGAGGTGTTTTTCGATTTAAGAGTCATCAATACAAATCTAAAGCTTAACCTCACCTGTGCAGTAAGAGACTTTATCACATCTTTTGCTGCTTTACATTTAGCAGATTCCTCTGCAGCTAATGCCATTGCTTCCTGAGCTTTCTTTGCTGATTTCTGGATATCCAACTCTTGCAGTTCACATCGATTTCTAAGGCTCTCGACCTATCATCAAAATAAAAAATTAATTTCGAAAAGCTAAAGCTGAATGAGGAAACAAAGAAATTTAGGGTGTACCTGCTCACGTAATTTATGTACTTCTTGATTCAAAAGTTCATTAGTCTTCTTCAAACTTTCTGTAATGCTTTTGGAAAAAGAAAGTCCTGAAGTTGTAGGGACTGGTGTTGCAGATCGTGGAGGGCTAGATTTTCTTGAGAATGGGGACACAGACCTTGAACTAACAGTAGATGGTGCAAGAACTGGTTTTGGAACTGTTCGTCGTGCATCAACAGCTGCAGAAATTACAGCATCTCTTAGCTGTAACAGAGAAGGCACTTGAGAGGAACGGCCTAAAGAGAATGTATCCGATTTCTTTCCTTGTTTAGCTGCTTTTGTATCTAACTGTTTGATCAAATCAAAATTGGATGGCATTCCCGACTTAGCTAATCGCAGATCAGCCTTGTCCAACCTGTCCTTATTCTCAGCTGAAAGGCGCGGTACAGCATTTCTCCGGCTATTGACTCCAGTTTCTGCCAATTTACTTAATTTAGCAGAACAGGCATCACAAACACGATATGGTTTGCTGGGATTAGGTGCCAATGCAGCCCGCAATGCTTTTCTTGAACTGCAAGCATGACAGTGTACTAGTCCACAATTATAACAATTATGCCTCTTTCTCGTGAAGCCAAATGCCTGTCTACAAGCCGAGCACTGAGACTGCTCAGCACCAGAAACCCATTTATGAAGACATATAGCAGCTGTAAAATTTGAACCACACGCAATATATTTAACGTGCCTATCCTTTAAAGATTCAACTAGTGTTGGCATTTTCCGGTCTTCTATATCTCCGTGGCCCAACCTTCCGTTGGCTCCTTTTCCCCACGTGTAGACCTCATTTTTGGAGGTTAAGACAGTCACGTGATATGCACCACAAGCAATTTCGTCAACAGATTCACCAGCAAGCTTGTCTTCTACAGAGCAAGGTAGCTTTCCATCAGACTGAGGATTTCCAAGCTGACCATAGACCGTACTTCCCATTGTGAAAACACGCCCAGATGTAGTCAGGCCCACAGTCAAACTATGTCCACAAGCAATTTTGTGAAAATTGTAATCAATAAGTGCAGGTACACACGTAGGTTTCAGTCGAGGATCTTTGTCACCATGTCCAAGACGGTTTTTATCACCATCACCCCATGTGAATAATTTTCCAGATGAAACACTGGCACTAGACTGTGTTACAATAACCTCAACAACAGCAGCAGTATGCCACACTCCGCACGCAACAGCAATAGTCCTTAACCCTGAAAGAGAGTCAACCTCCCTCGGGTATGAGACGTTTTCCCGATTACCATGGCCCAAAACACCAAAGGTTCCATCCCCAAATGTAAAGAGTTGTCCAGTTGATGTTATAAGGGCAGTGTGCCATGGACCACAAGTAACCATTGAAACTTGAAGTCCCTCAAGAGGACCTGATATTCTCTTTGGTATCCAGTGACTGATATCAGTTCCATGACCCAAGAGGCCAGCATTATGCGTCCCATCTCCCCATGTATAAAGTTCACCAGCCATAGTAACAGCGCAAGTGTGAAACTCTCCACACGCTACAAAATTAACGCTGCAAAAGGATAAAGATTCCACAAGACGTGGTTGAGGAACATCTTTCCCAACTCCATGGCCAAGCCGTCCCCCAGATTCTTCACCCCAACTAAAGACTTCACCTTGTCTGGTGACTAATGCAGCATGCCTGACCCCACAGGCGATATGATGGACATCCAGAACAACGTTAGATTCTAACGGCCTGGGAAGAAGCACGTCAGCTCTACTACTAACAGAACTAGCATTCTTCTCTGGCCCAACCTTGACAACATTATCACATATAACCTCACCCCATATGTATACATCCCCTAAAGCATCGCAATCATCCTGTGCAGAACCATGACTTGAAGTACTAGGAGCACTAGAAACACTCACTCGAAATGCATCTGAACCAGATCCTTTCACCTGCATGTTTGTTTGATCCAAAGCTACATGTGAACTTTCTGAATGCACCGAATTATCTGTGCGGTAACTGTTTGGTGAAGGGTGTATGTTTGACTTGATGGAAACCTCCGGAGAGCTAACCTCTCGTGTAGCACTCACAGAACTATTGCTTGGACTATTTGATGTCAAATCTCTGTTATCCTGGTATCATTTCATTAGGAATCACAAGTTTAACATGATAATAATGTTTTGATATAATAGAGACAATATCCATATAGATGTGTTTTAACATCACCAAGACCATCACAAACATAATTTGCTCATTCTACATATTAAGAACCAGTTTGGCAAACTTTATAAATCAATGCATAAATAGTCAAACTTCATTT